TTACAGACACCCACCACCACACCCAGCTATTTTCTGTATTTTCAGTAGAGACGGGGTTTCACCATGTTGGTCAGGCTGGTCTCGAACTTCTGACCTTGTGATCTGCCCGCCTCACCCAAAGTGCTGGGACTACAGGTGTCAGCCACCATGCCTGGCCGAATATGTGCTTTAGATACATCAAAATGTATGCTGCTTTCATCTTTAAGGCAAAAATGCCAGGTAAAGACTAGATCTGAGGCAGGAAGAAGCCAGAATCGTGTCCTTATGGTTCTAATGCCATGGTTCCCATAGTCTGCCCCAAGGGACCCCAGAGTACCACAGAAAATTCATCGATATTTCAGGTTTTCTGGGGAAATACAGTGATACGGGATCACTGTTAGACACCTTGTAAACTAACTCTAGATCAATCATAATTTCGAAATCAGATCATGCTACATCTCTTTTCATGAGTCCATATGAAGTTGGATTTCTGGCAGTCACTGTGACAAAAAGAATGTACCACACAAAAATCAGTGTTGAACTGGAAATGGGGATGGTGGTGTCCAAACTGATTCCAAGATTTGAAAGGTCATGTGACACCCAACAGGTGCACACATCCCATTCATAAGTAATGCTTATTGAATAATGAAATTAAAATGTCTCTTTTTAATGACCACTGTGTTGTAGGGACACAAATACTTATCAAATTGTTTGGACCTCACTGATTGATCAACGGAACTATTGGGTATTTTTTGGCCTTACGGAGGACCATGAAGAAATGACTGCACTACTGTATTCGTCCATTTTCACACTGCTGATAAAGACATACCTGAGACTGGGTGATTTACAAAAGAAAGAGGTTTAATTGGACTTACAGTTCCACGTGGCTGGGGAAGCCTCACAATCATGACAGAAGGCAAGGAGGAGCAAGTCACATCTTACATGGATGGCAGAAGGCAGAGAGAGCTTGTGCAGGGAAACTCTCCTTTACAAAGCCATCAGATCTTGGGAGACTTATTCACTATCCTGAGAACAGTGCAGGAAAGACCTGCCCCCATGATTCAATTACCTCCCACCAGGTCCCTCCCACAACATGTAGGAATTCAAGATGAGATTTGGGTGAGGACACAACCAAACCGTATCAACTACTAAAGGTGCCACCAACCATGACAGTTTGGGAGCCTGATGCTCTTGGGCTCTCTGCAGTGGTTGGGCCTGAATCCCTGCATAGACACAAGGAGCAGAAGTGGATAGACAGCAAACATCCACAAAGCTTCAGCATGGAGCCCTCCATCTGCCCTGTGAGGGGCCCTAGCAAAGTGCTATCATCACGGCTTCTAGAGAGTATGTAGAATTGAAAGAGTGAAGCTGCAACTGGTTGAGGCCACGGTCTCCTGCCCTCTGTCACACATCTATCCCATCAGGGTGGCTGCCCGCATTTGGGGGAAGAGGCTAAGGGAAAAGTAAAACTGGATAATCATTTTGTTTGGGTTAAATGAGATACATTTGTGTGCTTTGAAGTCCCTTCTGTGTCTAGTTAAATTGCTGTGTCTATCCTGCTATATGTGTGGTCTCCAGGGACACCCTACTGCTCACCCTGCTGGTTCCCCTGGTGCAGGCCAGAGGTTGTACAGAAGACAGTGAGTGTGTGGGTAGCAGAAAAATACTGACTTGATCATAACAATAATCCAAAAAATAATAAAAGTAATAATAAATTATTCTATTTTCTCTTTAGGAAATATTACAAAAGCATTGTCATGTGAAAAGGTGAGCAGAGTTCACAGCCAAAAAATAGAGGAGGAAACAGGGACATTTTCAAGATGAAGGAGTGTTCAGCAGTTAGCTCTTTTTAATCTTGTTTTTCTGGATTTTGTGATGTTTGCAGTATTGGTATATTTTCTGAAGTTTGTCATTTTGGGCATTTTCTCTTTTCAATCTATATAAATAACAGTTTCATCCCTAATGTTATATTCATAATTTTAAGGGTTTTTTTTTTTTTTTCTTGAAGAGAGTATCCTGAATGGTACAAGTTTCAGATTCCATAAAACCTGGACCTGCCAGTGGGAAAAGGTGCCAATTCCTGCTCAGGTGGCAATTTCCTACTGTCCCTCCTCCTCCCACCACCTCCCTCCAGAGCACAGGGCTGGCTCTCAGCATGAGGGGCACTCACGCCATGCCAGCAGGACACCAGAGCTACACCTATAGGACACACTGCCTTGGCCAGACAGCTAGCAGGGACCCTCAGTCACCAACACTCCGTGGCCAGCATGGGGGCTTCACTTTAGGGGACCAAGGCAGCTTTCCCTGGCATTCCCATTAGACTCCCAGGCCAGCTCTCTCCCCACACTGTCCAGCAGCTAACCCACGTGTGCCAACTCCCTTCATTGTCCCTGCACGGGACCCTGGGGCCCTGCCCCCATTCTTGGCTCTGTCCCTTGTCCCTTCTCCCTGTAGAGCTTCCTGCCCTCGCCTGCCCTGATGTGGCAACTTGGGTTCGTAAACACGGAGCATCTGGGATGGGTGGGAACACCAAATTGTACGCCAACCCACACACATTCCCCGTGGGGCCAGCCACCCTAAGGAAGGTCACACCTTTTGGCTCTAAGTTAATGCCTCCATGCCCACTTCTGCCCCTCACAGCTGTGTGACTTCAGACCGTGCCTGTCCCTGCTTGAGCCTCAGTCTCCCTTTCTGTAACACGGAGCTTATATCACCTACTCCACAGGGCTTGGGAGTCCTAGGTGAGACTGCACATAAAGCACTAAATATCATGCCCCATCTTCAAGGCCAAGGCCACCTGGGTTACCGTCTCTCAGCTCTCAGACCAGAGCCAGGTCCCCCACATCCCTCCCAGGTACATTTCAACACCTCCAAGTGGCTCTTCTCAAGCTTCTGAAGCTTCCAAGAATCCCACTCTGCGCTAATTCAGGCAGGCCTCACCTCTGTCTTCAGTGTCTCCCCTAACTGACAATGCCACTTTGGGGCACATAAACTTCCTGCAGGATCCCCACAGCCATCTCCATCTCCTCGGGCCCACGATTCCCTCTCATTTGCCATGTGGCACTGATGCCTCCACTCTCCCCAGAACTCCTTAATGCACACTCCCACCCTGCAGACCTCTCCCCACACCTCCAAAGTGCTTCACCCCATCCGCCTGCATTCATGCCTCTTTTCCTTCCAGCCTGGATGATCTCATTCTCCTCCCCCACCAGCTAGTCAAATCCCACCCAACCTTCAATGTTGACAATAAAATAATATTATCAATAAGAATAACAGGACCTATTTATTGTATAGCATCTACTATATGTCAAGCCCAATAATAGGCACAAATGTTATCTCTAATTTTTCCTGCAAGCCTGCAGGGTGCATCTTATCACCAGTCTACAGAAAGATGAAAAAAACAAGGATCAGAGAATTAAATCATGTTGCCCAAAGCCTCAGAGCTGGCGAGTGGCAAAAGCGAGAGCCTGACCCCATCTGTCTGGCTCCCAGGCTGGCCTCCCTCCTTGGTCCCCACCTTCTCAGCCAGCCTCCAGCCCCCTGCAGCCCACATCATTGTGGGAACATGCTTCACACTTTGTGAGATCAGGGCCAGGACGCAGGATTAACAATCTAACCTTCCCTTCCAGCCAGAACAATCCCGCCTTCCAATTTCTCAGCAGAGTTGATAAGTAGAGCTAATTTGGAAAACAGAACGCAGTGTATTCGAGGGAAAAGAAATGAATCCTCCTTTATTCACAGGGAACAGCATGTTCCCAAAATTCAAATCAGTTGTAAGAGCAGATTGATCCAATCAATGGCATTTTAATGCACTGTCCTAGATTCAAGACTAGCTACATAATATGCAGTGCCCAGTGCGAAATGAGAATGTGGAGCCCTTTGTTCAAAAATTATTAAGACTCCCAAGGGAGCAATAGCAGAGCATTAAAACAGGTGCGGCACCCTTCTGAACACAGGGCAATGTGTGACTGCATTACAAATTCATTTGATTTAATACCCAAAATCCAGATTTAGCACAGAAAAGCGTCTCAGGAGCTGCTCCGGTGCTACTGGAGATGCTGCCTTAATCTGGTCAAACCCAGGAGCCCAGGAGCAGTCTGCAGGGGCTGACATAGTCCCCCACCTGCAGGGAGGCAAGGTAGCCATCCTCCCTGCAATGCCAGAACAGTGCACGCTCCAGGCAAGGCAAGCTGTGCAGCCCAGGCAAGCCCCTCATGCTGACGCTTCCTCACATTTACATGCTAATGTCTCTCCCAGCTTGCAAATCACTTGCGACTCTTCACCTGATTTCCTCCACTTTCAATACCAGCAAAGGTACTCCTACTTTAAAGATTACAAATAAGAATACAACCCAGTACCAACAATTGCCAGGATCCCGGGGAAAGGATGAGATGTGAAGACAGAAACTCAGCCAAAAATATGGCTGGATTGGGCCAGTGTCTGCTCACCAGGATGGAGGCCGGGATGAGCTAAGAAACGGGGCAGGTCCGTCAGCGGCAGCTCATCGCCTCCCCTGTCCCAGCCTCCCTTCCTTCTGCCATGTGGGTTTGGGCATAAGTGACAAGAAAATAAAAAAGTTCTTTCAAAGGCAAGAGCACAAAATGCATCATGCAGAGGTTGGAAATTAAGGCCCATGGATAGCACGTTCCATCCTCTCTTGAAAAGCCAGGCAGCAACCTCCCGGCCATGTAAAGACAAGGAGAAGTAACTGTCCAGGAGACTGCCTGCTGGGCCCTCACCGCTATATGCTCAGTCCTGCCCTAAAGCCTGGGACATTTCTCCTGGTCGCCTGCAGACACACTGCCACTCTCTCTGGCAAGGCTGCTAGACACCAGTCAGAAACTGTAAATAAAGAAGGCCAGCACCGCAGGCCTCCAGTGCGGGGCCAGGAGAACTTGAAATAATCTTTGGGAATGGCTCAGTGAAGTCTGGGACACACTCCTCAGCTGCCATCAGTACTTTCCCAGCCCAGCAACCCAGCAGGAGTGAGGTCCAGCCTCGGGGCCCCATCCTCCAGGCACCAGCAGCTTTTGGTAGGTCCAAAATCCAGTCACACCCAGAATTTCCTGGGGTATATGTTGGGGGGTACATGCTGGAGGCCTCATCTTCACCTTTATGCTGTCTGGGGGGCTCATCGTATATTTCTTTGGCATCCCCTTCAGCCCCGAGCATGGCTAGATTAAAAGTAACTACAAAGAGGCTACTTGCTGAATAAATAAATCCAGAACCAAATCCAGATGGGACTCCCAGGAGAAAATGACACACCGGGAAACTTATCGGCAGGTGCCCGGGGCCACTCTCATCCACTTGGTTCCACTCACAGCTCAGCACCTTTACAGAGAGGTGGGGGAGAGCGAATGCAGTCAAGGCTGGATGCGAGCTCAACCATCCCTCTAGTGCTCCTCTTACTTCCCAGCCTCTCACTTCCCAGCGGAAGGTCCCCCAACCTGCATCTGTGATGGGGCAGGGGTGCAACAGCAGAGACAAAGCAGAGAGAATGCAAGGGCTGCAGGCCCAGGGCAACTGGGACCGAGTGCCTGCAAACGGCCAGTCTCTGGGTGGCAGGAAGAGAGGACCTGGAATATTGATCTTTACACTGAATGCAGGGTCCTCTCCGCTGAACTTTAGCTGTCAGGACTGGAATGTGGGCTCCACCCCTCTGAACCAGCCACAGGCACCTGAGGGCAAGTCGGACGCCTGCAGCAGGTGTGAGTAGGCCTGTCCAGACAGGACCCAGATGGAGGCAGGTGGTTAACTAACCTGATGCTGTGCAGCTGGGGAGAGGGGCTGGTCCACGTTCAGGAGGCCAAGGATGACTTTTCCCTAAGAAAAACTCCCTTTGTGAGGTTTCTCACTAAATTTGAGAATGATCATGAGAAGCACAAGGGGAGCAGGCAGAGGAGTGGGGAGAGACAGCACGTGGGCTGCATTTAAATGAGCCGTGAATTGCAGAGAAACAGAGCGCTTCCTCTTCCTCCAGGGAACTTGGACTATGTTCTCTCAGAGGGTCAGGAGAGAAATCAATTTTAAAAGGTTCCTAATGGCCAATGAGGCATGAAGCGAAAGGAGATGGGGCCTCCTGTCTGCAAGAGGGGTTGCCTGGGGAAAGGAAAAAGAAGCATGTACGGCCCAGAGAATGCAGCAAAGCTGCCCCAGAACACACATTTCTTTCCCAAGTTTTCAGTTTGAGTGGCTGCATGCTGTCTGCCCCGCTCCATTAAATTCCAAGGAAACTCGTCAGCCATGGCTGCAGCCCAGAGCCCGGCCCAGCACTGGTCTGGGGCATGGAGGCAGCAGAAACAGAAGTGAGACCTTGCACATTCCGGGAAACCAGACCCCCATTCTAATCGCTGCTGCTGGTACTGCACATTCCAGGGCGCCGGGGACATGGGGGCAGAGGGGCCTGCGCGACTGGATTTCCTCGAACTCTGCAGAGAAAATGCACAGGAAAGACAGTGGCATTGCTAAGTGGTGGCACAGGCAGCCAGCTGAGGTCTAAAGGAAACCTGAAACCCTATGCACCGTCAGGGCCACTGTCTGCAAATCTAAGGAAAGCCAGCCTTCGGTGTCTCCCATGGCCAATGGCCCTCAGACCTATTCTTGTTAAAATACACTGAATTCACAAGCAGGAATTATTATTTGTCTAAAAAGGTTAAAATTTGAATGATGAATGACCACGCTCTGTCTTTTGTATAGAAATAAATGAAATTCAGGAGAGTTTCGTGTGGCTTCTTTCTTTCCTTTTAATGAATCAAGGAGGAAGAGGTGGGGGAGCCGGGAGCCTGTCCTCAACTTTCAGTCCACATTGGCACTTCCAAGTGTTGGCAGCCCTTCTCTTTCCGGGACAGTCTCCCAGACGGCTCCAAGTGGGAAAAGCTTGCCGGACGCCAGACCTCAGGCTGCTCCCCCGTCTTGCATGTCCCGGGTGCCTTCAGCAGTAACTGTTGCAGGGACTGGGCCAAGACTACAGCAGATGGTGCCTGGAAAAGTCTGTGGCAGGTGAAGTGAAGGAGGAAGACTTTCCCAAACAAGGCTAAGACAGTCTCTCTCAAATAGAACAGATTCGAAATGTGCTTTCGGGGGGCACTTGGCCAGCTGGCTGTGAACCCCTCTCTGTGCTGTCAGTCACAAGCACAGCCTAGATCTGCATCTTTGGCTTTACTGGGAAAAGATGCCTTCTCCAGAACAACTATGTTGTTGTTTATGTTGTCTATGTTTAAAGGCGCCTGGCATTGAAAATCACTTTTCAGACTCACTGGCGGAAAAAATTTTAAAAAATTCGTGTTTTTCAGTCCTTGCTTGGATCTATGGTGAGTGCTTGGGTTTGATCGGTGCTGTTACATTTGATAGTCTTTTCTGGCCTATTTTATGTATTAGGGAAAAGCTTCCAATCAATTCCACTGCACAATTTTTTTTTAGATGCCTCCTGAATGCCCAACATGATGTGTCTATTATTATCTTCAGGGAAACAGCTGACTGCTCAGTTCACAAAAACACCATTAACTTTCCTCTTGATAAGCGTCTGGCTCCGGTCCTGACCTTCGCAGATTTCTCAGCTGGGTTCGCTTCCTGCACCGACTCCTCAACATAGGTTGTTATGTCTGGAGCTGCCGGGGCTGTTCAGTCTCCCCAGCCCCCCAGCCCCCCAGCCTCTGGCCGCAGACTAGGAGGCAGTGCCCACCCGGGTTGAGTCTGCCCCCCTGGTGCAGGAGGAGGGCCTGGGGCTGCAGAGGGGCAGAAGAGACGTGAGGGAGGGAGGTGACAGTGAACGAGCCCCTGTATCAAGGAAGAGGCCAGTTCTTCCAAGCAATACCCAGCACCCATGCAACGGGAACTTGTGAAACAGAGACAGACACCAGAAGGAAGCTTTGGCTCAAATAAGAAATGAAAAGTGGTCCCGGACCCAAAACAAGCCACTTCCCCTTCCTGGGCCTCAGTTACCTCAGTGGTAAGACGAGGGGGTAGGCTAGACGGTTTCCGAAATCCTTTCCAGCTCCAAAGTAGTTCTGTGATCTAATAAATCTGAAAAGTGCATTTCCTCATGTTTTCCTTTCAGTGCGTCATCCCCATCCGTATAGAATATTCTTGGTTTTAATGCTGGCTTCCTGAGTCAGGTGCTACAGTTTCTTCCAATGGAACCAGTCAGTATCATCTGTGCGTTTAGACTTTCACAGTGACCTTCCGGGCTGAAATTAGGATTCCCCACCAAGGAGGGGAGATAAAATAGAAGTCTGGTCTCCCTGTATCCATAAAAAGACATATTTCTAATCATAAAATGGAATGAAATAATGATCCCTGCTACAACGTGGACAACCTTGAAAACATTATGCTAAGACACAGAAGCCAGTTACGTATTGTTTGATTCCATTTATATGAAATGTCCAGAATAAGCCAATTCATAGAAACAGAAAATGAACCGGTGGTTGCCTAGGGCTGGACAGAGGAGAAGTAGGTGGTGGCTACTAATGGATACGGGGTTTCTTTTTAGGGTGATGAAAGTGTTCTGGAGTTGGTAGTGATAGGTGCATGATTGTGAATACATAAGAACAGCAAATTGTACACTTGGGGTAAATTTTATAGTATGTAAATTATCTCTCGATAAAGCTGTTTTAAAAAGAAAAATAATAATGTTCTTTGTTTCTTTTTACTTTTTTAATGTGACTACTAGAAAATGATTTTGTATATGCAGCTTCTGTTATACTTCTGCCTGTGTGTACAAAACATTTGAATAAATATTTTCATCACTTTTCAAAACAGACCAAATCAGTGTGGCCTCCTCCCGCATCCTGGACAGAGCTGGCATCCGAGAGGCTTACTGCAGCGAGCCCTGGGCTGGGCTTCCTGAGACCTGGGTTCTCTGTCACCTCCTAGTTTGTGACCTCCAGCCCTCAGGTCGCCTCACTGGTCCCAGGCTGCTCGCCTGAGACGCGAGTGTTGGAAGGACAAGCTGACAACCACCAAAGCCCCTCCCAGGTGAGACTGCCTGTGATCACAACTCAACCAGGTAGAACCAAATTGGAAAAGTGCTCATTATTCTACCCCAAACATTGCTCTGTTAAGAGCAATCAACCTGAGAATAAAAGTAACCTGTAAGACCAAAAAAGTAATCTAACAGTGAGCAGAATGGCTGGGTTCGGCACCATCTTCTTCCATTATTCCTGAAGGACTGCTTTTGGGATAATTTCTTTCAGTGACTTACGAGGTTGAAATTCTAGAGCTGATGGCAACAAATATGGCTACAACCTTTCTGGAAAATAATTTGGCAATTTATACCAGAACCATAAAAATTCCATATCCTTCTTTCCAGTTTCTGTACTTCTTAGTACCTCTCCTAAGAAAATGACCCTAGATACAGAAATAGCCATAAACATGAAAATGTCCATCTCAGGATTGTTTAACATCGCAACCTTGGCCTAAATGGATGTGGACAGGGGAACAGTTAACCAAATGGTGGCAACACTTGGGACAGAAATGATGGAATTAGGCCAGGCATAGTAGCTCATGCCTGTAATTCCCATACTTTGGGAGGCCGAAGCAGGCCAATCACTTGAGGCCAGGTGTTCGAGACCAGCCTGGCCAACATGGCAAAACTGTCTCTACTTAAAAATATAAAAGGTAGCTGGGTGTGGTGGTGCAGGCCTGTAATCCCAGCTACTGAGGAGGCTGAGGCATGAGAACTGCTTGAACCTGGGAGGTAGAGGTTTCAGTGAGCCAAGATCGTGCCCCTGACTCCAGCCTGGGCAATAGAGCAAGACTCTGTCTCAAAATAATAATAATAATAATAATAATAGTATTTCTGGAGAGATGGTAATGGTGAAATATGAATCTTCTTTTCTTAATTTTTCATAGGATTAAATTACATTTATAATATTAAAGAACTGAGATAGTACAATATGTCATCAAATGTATAAATGCATTTTCTGTCATGTCTAAACAGTAGAGAGAAAAGATACAAAAAAAAGTCTTTATGCTAGGAGAGGAAAAACTTGCATACTCTGCTCAAAGAAAATCTAACCACAGCTGAAAAGACATGAAAGCATTTCAGTCCTCATTCATCAGTGAGTCCACCATGATATTTATACTGATATTTTCCCTTCAGCAAAATTATTATAATTACCATTCAAAGGCATTTATATGTGCTTATAACTCTTGAAGGGAGACATCAGTCATCA